CGCGCGTATGCACGGGCCAAATGCTTGAAGGTCATTAGTGAGAGTTTCGCGCCCAAAATCGCTCGGTCGTCAACGTGTTAAAGAATAGGTTTAAAGACCATAAGCATAGTTAAACACATTTCTGATAAACTGACAAATATATAGCCAAATCTAGACAAAGTCACTGCATTGAGATTTAAACATTCCAATTTCTTAATTTCACAATAGACAATCTTTGATAATGCTTATCAGAAACTACTTAGCGGATAATTGGCTTTGATGTGAGGTCAGTCGAGCAATCATGTCTGAAGTGTTCAGGGGGGTTTGCCACTGCATCACTTTCACACTCCAACACTGAAAGTACTGGTAATTTATGAAGGTAACCTGTAAACAAAATTTTACGGTCAACCTCATCTATCGGCGAAGAAAACAACAAGAAAACAAAACGGGATTCCGTAAAATGTGAAGTTTCTTTAAGCTTGAAACAAGTTTATCACTTAACATCGAGAGCTAATTTTGGACTAGCAAAGATTGGCATGAAGCTGTGTCAAAATGTAATGTAGAAAACTTGTCCATTCAGCGATGGATAGAGCTAATGGTGCGCACCTTACAACATGCCTGCCTAAGCGTGCGCTATCGTTCAAAAGTCAGCCGCCCGCATATAAGGTCACCAGCCCTAGCTATGAAGTGGGCTGGAAAAACACAACGAGTCTCAGTAATTAAATCCTAAATCCTAGTTGAGCACCTGTCTTGACATTTTGACATTCATTACACTGGCTAATCTATGAAATTTGTTGTTTCTTTTACAATGAATTCTTGCAGACGTTTCACTGAAAGATATCCGAATCCGCCTGGGTTGATGACATTCACGGGTGCGGCAATGAGAATGGCAAGACTAATGCTCGAGGTGAAGCTAGGAAGAGAGGGCAGGTGTACTTAAGCTTACCGTTCAGAAGGAGACTGCCGATGATCGCACAATGGTGATTGTATCTGATGGAGAGGAGGACGAGCGTAGAGGAGCCTCAGAAGATTATGGCGGAACTTGCGACGGATGCGCCCCTCATTGCGAATGCTCGGAAAGACAATTCACAGAAGCTGATGCAGTACGTTTTACAGTCAAATGTCAGCTTATGTAATTGACATGCACATATATCGACGTATGCGTATCATACTAATCGCTAAAAGTTTTGCAATTTTTGCTGTATTTCATTCGTCCTGCTATAACTTCTGCTGCTGCTACTACAGCTGCTCAAAGTGGAACTTCTGGATAATTGGATTTCATTAAATAGAGCAATCTGGCTATCCTGAGGGCGTTTTGATTTACGAGATAGTGAGTGATAAAGAGGAGATGTACGAGATATGGGTGATAAAGAGAAGAGAAATTGATTTTACAAGGTTTCACCCAAGATCGTCCACTCTGCGAGAGCATTTGACATAGAGTTGGCAGATATTAGGGAGGGGGATCCGAAAGTTCGTGCGTTTCTCAGACCCATGCTTAAATCAGCTAGAATAACGATAGACAAGTGCTTCAAACATTATCGATGCAGAATTTTTTCCTCTTTATAATAGTTATGTTCCCGTTCAGATCCATTTGGTGTCCGCTCAATTTTTGGGCTAGCTTTGGTAATGTTTGAATAGAATAAACAAAATGCAATACAATACACTATTTGGGCCTCTTCACCTTGCTTCTCAGTGATCCTTACTTACTTAGATACTTAGATGGCCCGTCTTCACGTGG